ATATTTTTGCATTTCCAGTTCAAATTCCATTTCCTCATATTAACCAGGAATAACCCAATCTATGGAAAAGTATTAAGAACATGTCTCAAAAAAAAAAGAAAAGAAAAAATAAATTCAAGGAAAAATTGGTGTAACACATGCATTAGTCAATTGTGTTTCATAACAACCCCAAAATCACAGCAACTTATAAAAAACATTTATTTATTTCTCCCTCATGTTACATCGAGTCTGTGAGTCATTTATGAGTCTATTCTGTGTCTTCTCATTCCAGGACCCAGGCTGAATGAGAAATCCCGGCACAGAGCAGGCTGTTCTCATAGCAGATGGCAGAAGCACAAGAGAGACTGAGCCAAACCATGCAGTTGCATTTAAACTTCCCTCTTCAATGAGGCATGTCACATTCACTAATGTCCCATAGGACAAAACAAATTGCATGGCAAAATAGGGTGACCAACCTCCTTGGTTTTCCCAAGAGTAAGGGGCTCCCCAGGACTCAGGATTTTTAGTTTTACAACCAGGAAAGTTCCAAACAAAGTATGTTAACTACCCTACACAGCCAAAGTCCAACATCAAGGGGCAGGGAAATGTACTCTACAGAAATATGCCGGGTGATATTTTCAAACAAAAATGCAATCTACCACAGACTTGAATAAGTCATTCACAAACAAAATCAAAATCAAAGAAATCTAAATTGAAACAATAAGATACCCTTTTTTTGTTTCTTCTACTCTCAGGTTAGTAAAGTTTAAAAATAAAATTCAACAAGGGTATAAAGAAACGGGCCTTCTTCTACACTGTTTGATGAGCATATAAACTGGTGCAGATCCACAATCCTTATTGGAAAATCCTTGGAGACAAGATGGAAGTTGAAACTTGGAATTTTCCAGTTTATAGACAGGTAATATAGAACACATCCTATATATTAGAAAACACCCCACTGACACTCTATAATCAAACACATTCCAAATGGAATAACATGAAATATAGACTATAAGTAGCCACAAATATACAAAGAATTTTCAATTTTTAGAAATTTTGAAAAAAGACTATAAGTAAACTTAAAATTACAAAGAATTTTAAATTTTTAGAACTTTTTGAATTTCAGAGTTATAGATGAGGGATGACGAACGTAAAAACCTCCGGCAATATGCATTATGTATCAAAAGCCTGAAAAATATCGTTACTCTTCAAATCAGAAATTCTGGAACAGAAATTTATGTTTAAAAAAATAAATTCGCAGGTGAGGTGGCTCACGCCTGTAATCCTAGCACCCTGGGAGGCCAAGGCAGGAGGATGGCTTGAGCTCAGGAGTTTGAGACCACCCTGAGCAAGAGCAAGACCCCATCTCTAATAAAAATAGAAAAAATTAGCCAGGCATGGTGGGGTGCACCTGTTGTCCCAGCTACTCAGGAGGCTGAGGCAGGAGGATCACTTGAGCCCAGAAGTTTGAGGTTGCAGAGAGCTATGAAGACACCGCGGAGCTCTAGCCCAGGCAACAGAGTAAGAAGACTCTGTCTCAAAAAAAAATTGGAAAAAAATTTTAAAAATCTTAAAGATTTCCATCATACTGTTGTTTATAATATCAATAAATTGGAAATTATTTCCTATTATTGTAAAGATTCTGCAGTGTACAACATACAAATATGTCCACAGTATGTTAAGTTTTAGAAATTAGGTTAAAAAGTAGAACTGTAAGATTCAATTCATTTACAGTTCAAAAGCAAGCAAAACTAACCTATGCTGTTAGAAGACAGGATAAGAGTCACCCTGGGGGTTGTGGATGGAGAAAGATAAGGGACACAAAGGTTTCTGTTTCTTGATCAGGGGCTGGTTACACAGTATGTTCATTTAATGAAAATCCATCCAGCTATACACTTATGATTT